ATTTCTTAGCATACGCTTTGTGGGCCTTGCCTTCGAATCCTGTGATGACGAGGAATTCGTGTGATTGTAACTCAAAGGCCTCAAATACCGAATCAATGGACCTATGGCAATCCGCAACGACTATTCATTTATCCCTCATCTCGGTAATGGGAATTATGAACCAATAGGTAAGCAAACAAATAAAATTCAATTGTATCCAGATGCTTAAATGCTGGTCCCGAAGATTAAGTGCTCGCCCATTTTCCGTTTCAGAATCCTTGTCCCATGAAGTGGAACTGAAGAATATGAAAAATGGAGTGATGACCAATTAAGCTTGTATCAGTGATGCCAATAAATAAAATGCAGTTCGGCAATGGTGTTTTCGTAACTTCATGGCGGGCGCATTATCACCGTGAACAGTTATGATTATGGAGCGCCGTCGTTGGCCATTGTATTACGTAGCCGTGGGTAGGTGAGGCCCCATAACCTGCGTCGCGAATAGCAGTTACGCTAAGTAGCCGAGGTGAGCGACAGCTCATTGTTTCGGGTATTGGAGGGAGTGGTCGAGGGGGTACAATCAAGAGTAGGAGTTGGGAGCGCGCTATCAAAATGGCTGGTGATTGCAGTTTGACAGGCGATTACCACGGTTGATCGTTGGGTTAGCCTGTTATGTGATGCCGGAGCATTATGATTAGCTACGAGCATGTGTGCGGGCCTGGCAATTACTATAGGTAGTCACGTAGGTTGCGTCGACTACAGTTGCGATGTTTACTGAAGGTAGCAGACGTAAACGGCATCGAGTATGAGTATGACGATGAATCGCGTATAGTATGAAAGACCGTCAGCCTTATACTAAGCGTTGCACATAAACTCAAGTTTTGCAATTACGATAAACAGCCAAGGTAGGCGATATCAACCGCAGTTACGAGTATGACGGGCGGTGGTTTGTCGCTAAGATGTCACGCATGGTTGGAACCTGGTTTCTATCGGCCCGCATAGATACTGGCTTGGTGAGTACTGTAGGTAGCAGGCAGGTACGACAGTGAAGATCGGTAGTTAACACTGATTTCATGCTCTCAATGATGATATAAGCAGCAGACAAGCGAGAGCGCGCACATTTATGGGTATGACGGGTCATCGTTGGCAGTTAAATCAGGACACTTCGCATAGTCGAGACCTACTAAACAGCTTCGCATATAAGCACTGGCCTAGCAGTTTCAATAAGTAGTCAAGGTAGGCGATATCGCGTACAGTTTTGAGTATTAGGTTAATCGGTCGCCATTAGATTAGGAATGTATGCACAAGGACACCGACTCAACAGGTACGATCAATAGCCAAGTTAGATGACCTCGAGTACAGTTGTGAGTATAACTGGCTGTCAGATGTGGCTACCACGCGTAGCTGAGGCCTTATTTTTACCGGTCGGCACATAAATTGCACTGATGTTTACTGCAGCTAGCGAAGACAAGCGGGATCGCGTAAAATTAATGGTATACAAGACCGTCATTGACCATCGGCTTATGTTACTGTGCATAGGTGTAGTCTCATTATTAACGTTGCACATAAACGCGGGCCTAGCAGTTCCAACAAGTATTCGAGATGAGTGAAAACTAGTAGAGATAAGAGTGCAAGAGGCCGTCGTTGCTCATTGGATTGGGCTGCCGCGCATGTGTGCGGAACCTTAATTAGCGTCGCACATAGACAAGGATCCAGCAGCTACAACAGGTAGTCGAGGTGAGTGACAACGGCTACCGTTGTCAACCGCTTCATGGTTGGTGGTCACCACCTACAGAACCTCATAATAGGAAAGACGCCCACAGGATTCTGGTAACACAGTATTATCTTGTAGTGGTCTGGCTACCCAATAAGTTCGTTTACCAGGAGTGTGTGGCAAAGAAAGAAATAATGACGCTAGGTTGGGTATACAACAATAAAGAGATCAGACGGAACAGACTCACTAAAAATTGTTCTCTTTAAAATAGTTCGTCGTTGGCCCAGGTCAGCGAATAAACAACAATCCAATCATGTTGGTTCAGAGGTCTTCTTCTGAATAGTTCCACATATAATAGATTCCGAAGATGTCTGAAATGTTTTGGTACCAGAGTTAGTACATGATACTCGCGAATGACCGCTGCAAGCGCGAGCGAAATCAGAAGAGAGAGTCGAAGCGCGTGACCACGCTTGTATTATGTGAAATTGTACAAGTGCGCGTTTTTGTAGTTTTTCGTATTCAAACAAAAAATCGATTATGCAATTGATGAAATACGTAGTGTTATAAAGGAAGTAAAACAAAAGTATAAAACGCCGCAATCTACAAACTAGTTATGCATATCTGGGAAAGGGGATCGTCCACAGATGTCACTCGCACTGCCACTGGAAGTTTGTGCTGTACTCTAACTTTATTGCACTTAATGGAACCTGAGACTCATGGGGAAAATGTGTTGTGAGCAGGTTCGCCGGACCGAAATATCCCATTTGTTAAATCTGAGGTGTCTAAAGCAAAAAAACGCCTGCGACTGATCCTAAGGGTGGCATTTGCATCAAATACTCTTATTCTTATTCTTCAGGAACACCGAAGAACGCCAAAATCTGCTAAAGTGCCATTTCGTGTTTTATGTGCCGCTGGCTATTCGCACAATGAGACTGATTTCTCGAAATCTACGGCATTTTCAGACTTGCCACTTCATAGTGTAGAATGTCTATGTATAATGTATATGCTCCTGTATTATTGAAAATCCTTTACTATGGCGATTTGTTAAAGTGAACTAAATCCCTAGGTGAATAAACACCGCCGACTTTGAATACCTTACCGGATGATATAAAATCGCGAATTGTGGAAAAGGTTGACTCACATACAATGAACGTAACCTTCAGGTATTGTTCCTGGCCTTTGGAGATGCAACATATGCGTAGGCGCATTCGTGCAAACACATTTTGGTCGACGATTCTTTGTTGCCAGTAAAAATTCCGCAGTGCACGCTAGTTATTTGCTAAACGTCGTGCAAGTTTGCTGGCAAAAACCAGAGTTTTCCATTATAGGTTGCGAATCATGCTAGAAAGACCTCGAGATTTATCGATTAGGAACATGGAATATACGTCAATCATAGCAAACGGCTTAACGATCTTAACCGACGCACACGACTAAGGTGCGGTTAGGGGTACACGATGCCTAACTAACTAGCCACATAGAGCCTACGTCGATAATATCAGACAGCTGAACGATCTTAACTAACGCACACCCCTTACATGCGGGTAGAGGTACACGATACCTAACTAACTAGCCACACAGAGCACACGTCGATAATATCAGACAGCTGAACGATCTTAATTGACGCACACCCCTTACATGCGGGTAGGGGTACACGATACCTAACTAACCAGACACACAGAGCATACGTCGATATTATCAGACAGCTGAACGATCTTAATTGACGCACACCCCTTACATGCGGGTAGGGGTACACGATACCTAACTAACCAGACACACAGAGCATACGTCGATATTATCAGACAGCTGAACGATCTTAATTGACGCACACCACTAACATGCGGCTAGGGGTATACGATGTCTAACTAATCCACCCATCGGTAACGGAGAAAAGGCTCAAAATGGACGTCTTGAAATTTTGAGATATATTGGTCGTTTTGAAGTTTGCATGTGTCCTTCTGTGAGGCGCATTTTCTTCTTCGTTCATTTGGCGTTGAAGTCCTGAAATGAGAGAAAGATATAATTCAGGTTATCAAAATATCACCATAAGACGGGCGGCCGACAAACAGGTGGAGATACTTACCCCAAAATTCACTGCAGCGACTATGCTGTCGTAGATGCCTGTTCACACAATGCCATCTTCAGCGGTTATTTCGCATGCCTGTCTACTGCACCTCTCAAGAAATACGAGACTTACATGTAATGCATAGGACCTCATTAACAGACAAACTTTTCGGAGCCGATGG